ACAGGCATTTCCTTCAGCATCTATTTTAATCCATGAAAAAGGAATTCTAAAATTTTAACATACATCTCTGGTAATGGGAAATTCTGCAGAAATTGTTTTTCTTTTTCACAGTTTTAATCTCTTCTTAATTTTAGGGTCTTTTAATTTTCACTCAACCAAAGGTCTTTTAAGTATCAATAAAATATTAGATAGCTGTGCATTACACGGCATAATCTAATCTTTACACTGTCTTCTTTTACATAATTACAGATGCCACCCAGGGTAGAGGAAACAGGTATGTACCCTGAAATTTCTTACAAGCTGAGAAAAAGAAGCAGCTGGCTTTCGTGTGTAGGAGCTGCTCTAGGTTTCTATTCAGAAGGACAACTGGGAGTCTCATGAGAGAAAATCCTTTTGTAGGGACACAACTATGATGAGAGCGTACCGTATGAATGACACCCAATAAGTCCCTGAAGTGCATATTTGAAATTATTTTGGCATTTTAAGGCTATCTCACACTTGTTAGCTTATAATTTTATATCACAATACTTTGTGGACAGGATATTCTGTGAGGGAACTCTTGAAATTTCCACTTCCTCTCTGTGGTTGAAGAATAAGAGGCTCATGCAAAACTACAAGTTGTGCCTACGAATGCCACCCAAAGAGGCACCTACTGATTAATTTGCAAACATTTTGGTATTTTTGGCTCTCTTAAGATTGTTGCTTACAGCCATGTGTCACAGTGATCTGAGGGTATAACTTGCAGTGTTTCTACCTTGGAAAATTAATGAGACTGGGCTTTAAGGTCTCAAATCTGACCTCTTTGTGAATCCTACATGTTGCATTTTCTTTTCTTGGTACTTTTTAACTTTAGAATCATGGGGTACATGAGTAGAGTACTTACGTTGTTTTCTTACCTGAAGGCAATATTTGTTCTTCTGAAGAGCCCCCTAAGCACAGAAGAGATCATGGTATCCAGTAGGTAGTTTGTGTCCCTTTTCTCCCTTTCGTTCTCTCTGTTTAAATCAGTTTCCAGTGTCTGTTGTCCCCATTCTTGTGCCCCATATTTAGGACACACTTATGAGTGACAACATGCAGCATTTAATTTTTGGTTCTGCAACAATTCATTTACAATGAGGGTCTCCAGCTGCATAAATATTGTTGAAAATGGCAAAATTGTGATCTTCTTTTTCATTAAGGGTCTAGTGTTCCATCATGAATATGCACCACTTTTTTTTTTTTTTTTGAGTTGCGGTCACACTCGGTACTCCAGGCTGGAGTGCAGTTGTACACTCACAGACATCCCAAAATCGATTGACTGGGTTCCGGGATACTTCTGCCTCAGCCTTCCAATTAGGAAGTGCTACAGGTGCACGCTACCATGCCCGGATAATTTCTTATAAATTTTGGAGGTGAGGTCTCACCAAGTTGCCTGGGCTGGTCTCAAACCTGCAAACTCAGGCAATCTGCTTCCCCTGGCCTCTCAAAGTCCTGGGATTTCAGGGTGAGCCACTGATCCCCGTCTCACATATTCTTTATTCAAACTACCAAAGATGTGCTTATGTGTTGGTTACATGGTTATGCTATAGTGAATGCTGATAGAGTAGTTTGCTCTTAGAATGTCACGGTCACCTTTTGGAAAAGCAAAGAGATGGCCAGATGTTTTTGCTCCATTCACAGATTCTAACAATTGTGAGACATCAGTAGTCAATGTGCTTCCCTCTATCCACTCTGAGGTGATTTTTTAAGCAGCTGGCCAAAGCATATAAGAATTGGTGACATATTTTAGTATATTGTATATTGTCTACATAAACCCCCAAATGCTCAAATCCTACCAGATTAAAGTGGTAAAAATGAAAATACAAGCGCAATGCAGGACTATCTTAACAGCCTGATTTCCGTTGTTTTGGGGGCCTTTCTGGTACATCTGGATTCAGGACCATCAACACTCATTCCAAACCTTTCACTATGATGAACCAACAAATTACTGACTGGCTAGTTAGATGAGCCATCACATTACTAACTGGCTACTATCTCAGTCAAAGCACCATAATTGATTCAAAATCACCAATTATCTGGGTACTGATATTTTTTCTGTATTGTCCTAGCCTGCATAAAGGATGTGGAGGAAAATACCTGCAAATCAGAAGGGCTTTCTCCCCAGGTAAGACCACCTTTCATTTTCATGAGGAGAAATGTAATTTGTCTGAATTTGTTCCTTATCAATTGAAGTTGGATATAAATATTCAACAACGTAAATTATGTTTGACCCATATAAATATCTTAGTGCTGTGGTCCTGAGTGGCCCTTTCTTACTGACACATACTTCACACATTTAGACGTTTTTAAATGATAGCATTCATTATGAATTATAATGTACAGGCATTTCCTTTAGCATCTATTTTTATCCATGAATTAAGAATTGTAAATTTTTCATTTAAATATCTGGTAAAGGGAAATTGTGTAGAAAATGTCTCTTTTTTACAAGTTTTATCTCTTCCTAATTTTAAGAACTTTTAACTTGGACTCAACCAATGGTTTTTCAAGTCATCAATCAAATATTAGAGACTTGTGCAATGCACAGTATAATCTAATCTTTACACTCTCTTCTTTTACATAATTGCAGATGCCACCCAGTGCGGAGGAAAGTGGTACGTACCCTGAAAATTTTTTTTTTTTTTTGAGTTGTAGTCTCACTCTGTCGCCCAGATTGGAGTGCAGTGGCCACTCCCGGCCACCCCAACCTCGATCTGCTGTGTTCCATCGGTCCATCCCCCTCAGCCTTCCAAGTATCTAAAATTACGGGCACGCCCTAGCTCGCCCTGCTAATTTTGGGATTATTGTAGAGATGAGGTCTCGCCAAGTTCCCCATGTGGGTCGCGAATCCGCGGGCTCAGGCAATCCACTCACCTCAGCCTCCGAAATGCGCAGGTTTACAGGCTGAGCCACTGAGCCCAAAATGAAATTTCTCACTAGCTGAGACAAAGAAGCACTGGCTTTAGTGTATGTCAGATGATTTAGGTTTCTATTCAGAAGGAACATTGGAATTCCCCTGAGAGAAAAATCATTTGTAAGGACACATCTGTCACCAGAGCATACCGAAAGAATGACACCTAATAAGTTGCTGAAGTGGTTAGTTTAAATTCTTTGGCAATTGTATGGCTCTCTTATTATTCTTGACTTACAGATTTATACCACAGAGAGGATGGGAGAGGATTTCCCATCCAGGAACCCTTAACAGACCCACTTCACTCTAAGTGGTATAGCATGAAGAGACTCAGGCTAAACAAAAAGGTGTACCCTAGGAATGCCACCCCAACAGGTACCTATTGCTTAATTTACAAATATTTTGGTATTTATGGCTCTCTTAAGATTGTTGCTTAAGCTTTGTGCCACAGTGATCTAGAGCATAATTTGCAGCATTTTCCTTCTTTAAATTTTAATGAGACTGGGCTTTAAGGTCTCGAATATGATGTATTTGTGCATCCTCCATGTTAAGTTTTCTTTTCTTGGTATGTTATAACTTTAGAATCATGGCGTACATGTGAGAATTACTTACAGAGTTTTCTGGCAGGAAGGCAAGTTTTTTCCCTCTGAACAGCCCACGCAATCACAGAAAGGATCATGGTATCCAGTGGGTAGTTTTGTGTACATATGTCTCTTTCTCCCTCTCTGCTTAAGTCAGTTCCCAGTCCCTTTTATCTCCATTCTTGTGTCCTGTGTTTAGGGCACACTTGTGAGTGAGAACATACAGTATTTAGTTTCTTTGTTTCTGTAACAATTCATTTAAAATGAGGTTCTCCAGCTGCGTAGATATTGTTGAAAATGACATAATTTTGATCTTCTTTTACATTGAGGGTCTAGTATTCCATCAAGAATATATACCTCTTTTTTTTTTGAGTTGTGGTTCTGTTCGGTCCCCAAGTGGAGTACACTGGCACACTCAGGGCCATCTTAGCATCAACCGCCTGGGCTCCGGTGACACTTCTGCCTCAGTCTTCCAAGTAGCCAGTGCTACAGGCACATGCTACCATGCCCAGCT